GAAATGCAAAAAGTTTAGAACAGAATTAGCAAACTTCTTTGGTCAAACCCTGGTGTTTTTATTATTAGAGGATGTTTCCACGTGTGATCATTCTATATTTGGAATTCCCATTTCCTTATATGATAGAATGAAAATACCCTGTAAAATATCACAAAAATATGGCATGCTGTAACTTACGGCGTTTCGGTGTCAGATGTATAAAAATTACATGTACTTACATCTTCGGTCATGGTTTACAATAGAGACTTGAATACACTTTCCGTACATATCAACAACAGCATACACAGACGCCGGTAAACCTTTTGCCGCACAGCCTTGGTCTACACCTTTAATGTAAATGTGTAATTCACCGTTTAATGTCCTTTGTACTCCAACACGATCACCCTGATTCAGTTGGTCTAAATCACGACCATACTCGTCCATTACGGATCGCCCATCGCGCAGAATGGAACATCCGGACATGATCCAGGCTCCTTCCCGTAGACTGGTAGCACTGGTTGGGAAATCCAGATGAGCTGGATCTTGTGTTGACACGCCGATTTCTATTGAGCCACTCCATGAGTTCACCTGAAAAACAGTTAACAAGCTCAAACAATGGACTAAAAGATACATGTTTGTGACAGCTAGCAGGTGGATAAAGTGGCTGAATATATCCAAAATGAAAGGTATAGCCCCATATTTTCCCCAAATCTGTGTGTAACAAGACAATTTGATGACTTTTTTTGTATTTAAACCCTCACTGAATATTCTGGGAACCCTTGCAACATGGTAAATAATCAGATTTATTGTGATCATAATCTGAGCGTCAGTGAGCGTACCATAAACTGCTTTAATTTTGCAAAGCCTAGGTGACAAAGAGTGTCAGTATCTTTCATAAAATTTTGTTTTCACAAAAACAATAAAATCCTGAAGTCACACAAATTTTTGGCAGTATAAATTAAAAACTATACAGTATGTTGCTGTGATGTGACACCTCCAGTTATCCAATGTGTTTTAATACCCTGGAAACCACACAATTTCTGAATACAGGCCAATACCTAGCTAATGTATGATATACAGTATACCAACAAGGAATTGAAAAGTTTCCTCTCTACAAGTTGGTACCTGTAAAATAGCAATACCAAAGTTGGGCATTTTGTTCACAAGTGTGAATCAAATAAAGCGAACCTTGTTATACTAAAAATGTATTTATGTTATCATTCAAACAAGGTCACACTAAAATGTCATTTTTAGATTACAGGTATTATACAGACATGATATTTATCCAGCTGTATGAACTTATTCATTCATGTCCATCACAGAGAAGTCAGAAATAGCAAAAACAGCAGTAAACAACCGCAATAAGCACGACTAGAAATTACATGAAAGTGACGTTGACCTTTGTCATGTACACATATTTCAACGTTCAAATCTGATTTAAGCGTGAGCCCACCAGACATGGAAAATCCACCATCCATCATTACTCCCACCGTCATTAAACACCAGCATTGCCATCTACATGTAAGTTGCTGATTGGTTTGCTATGCATGTCTTGAGATCAATAGAAGTCAATAGAACTGGTTAGGTGCATCGTTCTGCTAAACGCAAGTATTACTAACATAATGCCCTGCAGGAAACACCAGTGGCTGTGTTCTAACATTTATGATGGCATCAGTAAATACCTTGTGTTTGAATAACTTTGCCTTTTATCATATAGCGATTAATACCACACAACAGCAAACCAGTCAGTAACCTCGCTGGTTTGGAACAATACGAGTCATGAAACCACTGCTAATATATTACACCTTGACCATGACTTTTTCCTTTGCCATGAAATTTTATGTGACTAATGTTTTGACGTCCACTGATATCTAAATGATTGGTAAATGTAAGCATCTAAAATTATTTTACACTCGACTGTCTGATTTATTAATTATTCAAATTACATGTGAATATGCAAATTTAGTCATCACAACAATGCAGGTTTTTACTTTTGACCACAGTTTTAAGCATATTCCATTTATGGTAGAGCTCTAACATTTTCATGGAATAATTAGTTATATTTATTGATTCTGTAAAATATAAAAACTTTCATTTGGTTAATACATGTATGTGTCTAAAAAACTACATCCTTAACATTGTTTACATTACCAAATCTAAGTCCTTTTGTGACGTTTTCACAAATATGACCAAACAAATTTAGGGTCAGGCAGTAAAAATAGGTTGGGTTACTGTGGAATACTTTATTTTCGCTGGAATTAATTTTCGCTGAAAAGGCTTTTTTGGCGTTTTGTATGGAATTTATTTTCACTGATTTTTGATGAGTTTAATGTGAAATATAGAAAAAAAAAGTATATTCGCTGGATTTTATTTTCACGGAATCATTCTTTCAGCGAAAATAGCGAAAATAAATTCCAAGCGAAAATAAAGTATTCTACAGTATATTATAAGAACCATATATTTTTTTTTCTCTTGACTATACTCTGAGAATGTGAAGGTCTATTTCCCAAACTTAATTTCACAACAGACATCGCAACATCACCAACACCCTTCCCTTACGACCCTTGACACTCATTGCCGGTGATATGCACTTGAACAGAACAAAACTAAGATTGCTGCAAAGCGCTTATTCCACCCACAGTCCGTCTATAGAGGGACTGTGTTCCACCACACCAATACTGTTGATGGGAGTGGATCAAACACTCATTGCATAATTTCGATATTAAAAATCTCCATTGTCTTCACTATCCGTGGTTACCAGGGACGGATGAGAAAAATATTTGTGCGATGAATATTAATCAGCTGATTCGTGTTCCAGAGTTGTGCTTCGTCTTGGCGAATGTCACCAATCTACAACAACGCAGCAACGACTTGACGTCGCTGTGCTACGAAAAAAATCGAATCATATAAACAGAAATCACGTAAATAAACAGTTTACATCAATGACCGTTTGACGCTTCTTACTGACGATAAATATCACTCTGTATTCGGCAGCTGATGCATAAACATAATACAGGCTTCACGAATAAATATAATTTCGGGAATACATTTTTGGCAACTGGCTCACCTTTTTGTCAATAATTACTTCGAATATTTCATTATCACGAAGTGGGTCTTTGCTGATGACGATACCGTTGTTGAATTCTTGTGTCGGGTGATTTCTCTGCGCTGTGCGATTACCGTTGCTGAGCGTGACGAGAGACCCCGTCCGACTATGAAAAGCCTGAGACGCGGCCATTTTTTTATCTCTAATTTATTAGTTACCTCCGCCGCTTTACGGCACAAGTACGACATTATATTGTTTTCAATCAATAACTTTCAAATGTGCATCATACTGGTTTAGTGGAAACATATGAGATATTTTACATTCGTAATTGCAGGTTCGTGACAAATTTGAAATCCTATTTCAACAAATAGCAATCAAAAATATGTCACCGCAAAAGAGTAATATTTTTTTCAAGAAAATATTGTCGTAGAGGGCGCCAATCTATGATAATTAAGTTTTTGTTTCGTCTGACCTAGAGCCTGATCTGACCGCTGTGTTGGTCATACAAGTTTATGTATGTAGCTGGGAATCTTCAACCTGTGGGGTATCGCGGGATAACGTATCATTACTTTGTGATCATATTCATTTTCAAGTTATTTACCAGCGGCTTATT